CTATGTCCTGAGCCTACTTATTTATTTACTTTATTTTGAGACAGGGTCTGTGTGTATTACAGGCTGCCATTGAACTTGCTTATGCAGCCCAGACCGCCTTTGAACTCAGTAATTTTGCTTCAGCCTCTTGAGTGCTGGGATTACAGCTGTGTGCCACCATGTCTGGCTAGTCCCCCCCCCCCTTTTTTTTAAGTGTAGGGTCTACAGGGTCTCAATACGCAGATCAGACTCGTAGTGATCCACCTGTTTTCAGCTTCCCAAACACTGGGATTACAGGCAGTGCCACTGCGCTCAGTCTCATTCGCCATCTCAGCATCCCTAGGGTAGGGCCAGCAGGGCATGGGGGTTGAACCCCTCCTTGCCAGGCATGTTAGTCTGCTGAGTTATCTGGCCGGCCATGTTCTTTTTAACTTGAGACAGGGTCTTACTAAGTTGCACAGGCTGGCCTCACTTGGGATCCTTCTGCCTTACCCTCCCAGAATGCCGGGATTACAGGCATGTGCCACCACACCTGGTTTAGTAAGGATCTTTATATCTATGCATTTGGGGATATTGCCTTATCTTTTTTTTTTCTTTCGTTTTCTTAAATTATCTGTGTGTCTTTGGTATTAGGGTAATGCCAGCTTTATAAAGTTGCAGTAAAAGTGATGTATAAAGTATTCTTTCTTCTTTTTGTTTTTTTCTTTTTTTAAGAATTTGAGAAGACCAGGCATTCTTTGTTTACTCAGTTTTGGTGTCAGGAATCAAGGACCTGCACTATCCCGGCTGGGGCTGTGAGCTCGAGCTGCGTCACAGGCGTAATTCTTCTTTAACTGTTGGTTATGATTGTGCTGCTAAGATACGTATCCTTGGGAGCTGGGCATGGTGGCACACACCTGTAATCCCAGCACTTGGGGAGGTTGAGCCAAGAGGATGTCTGCGAGTTAGAGACCAGCCTGGGGGCTACCAAAGTGAGCACAAGGCTAGCCCAAACTGCATAGGGAGAGTCTGTCTCAAAAAAAGATTTTTGGTTACTGATTTAATCTGTTTATTTGTAGATCTGTTCCAATGTTATAGTAATGCTTTTAGTTATGAAAGGTACGCTTCTAGGAATATATCCATTTTTTCTAGATTATCCAAGCTGCTATCTAACAGTCTATCGCAGCCCCTTAGGAGCTGTTGTATTTTTCTCCCAGCTGTGATGTCTCTGTGCTTGTTTCTAATTGAGTCTTCCCTCTGTTCTTTGTTGAAGGTGTGGTGTTGAAATCCCTTATTGTGATTCTCACCCTGACTAACTATATATATACTGACACCTGTGAACTAAGCAACTGCACTGAAGATGGCAATTTGTAATAGTAGATTCATGCTTAGAGTGCCTGTCATTTTGGTCTTCTGAATACAGGCTCCTTGTCATGACATGCCAGTTGCTGCTGTGCTGTCTCTCGGGTAGATGGTTGTTCAAAAAGAAGTGGGTGCTGAATGAAGGCAGGAGATGGGAAATGGAATGTTGTGGGCCTGTCCTGCTTCAAGGTTGTATATGGTTAGATTTTTGGACTTATGTGTAAACATAAGTATATAATTCTTTATGCCTATTTTTAAAATATACTCTAATTTTTAAATGTTTTTCATCATATTCTGTAGGGACTTAAAAGTTCAACATATCAATATTTGAAAAATACCTGTTCCATGTTATTCCTAAGATACTTGATATTCAGACAGATAATGAGGTTAAGCTTAACAGCCTAGGTAGTATGGTAATAATAAACTTCTCTTCTGGAGGGTTAACAACCTAAGTTTGCAGACCAAAATTAGAGAAAAAGGAGGGCCGCAAGGAAAGCCAACATTTTGGCCCTAGCCTTCCAAGGTCAGTTAAGGCTCAGGACATATGAGAACTTGTACTGTAATGTCATGTAACTCAGTAATGTCCCAAATTTTCTGATCAAGGAGATTATGGGGCCAAAGAGGAAAGTGATCGATGATGTAGAGTGTACCTAAGGAGAGTCACATGGAGAGAAAACATTCTCTCAGGCTTTCACAGAGAGCACATTGGCTAAGCAATAGCCGTAACTCATCCACATGGCTGCACTGATAAAGAATCTACAATCTGAGGTACAGGATCTCAGGATAACTCCTGAGGGGATTTCACTGACCTTCTCAGACCCAAAAGGTACAACTCTTGTTGCATAGGTCTTGCTTTATCTTGGTCTTAACCATCCAGCAGAAAAGTATAAAAACAAAGTATAAGAAGTAAAGCCATGGTGTTATGTTGAGCTGTAGGGGACTCAGGTCAACAATTTCTGACATTGCCAGTGAAGCGGAAGACCCAATACTATTAGGGACTACTGCACTCCTAGAATATTTTGCTGAGTGAACACACCTGTAATATTCAAATAACAGAACTAAAAAAAGGGGGATACAGTTGAATGTCCATTTTGTGTCTGTGTAATCAAAATAGTTAGAATAGATGTATAGTTACAATTCTCTTAATGAATAGAGGGATTTGTTCTAATAATGTTTGTAATTAGGGTATCATGTCCTCATCTTGTACAGCAGTTAACCACTAGGAAGAATGTATGCAATGTGTTAATTATTGAAACTGTCCTACTGATTTGGTTTGAAATTGTCTCATTGCTATTTGTTTCTCAATAAAATTATGGGAAAAAGAAAAAAAAAAAAAAGAAATCCCTTATTGTGATTTGAGTAATTTTTAATCTCTGTTGAGTTTTGTATTAAAGTATTATTTTTCTAATTTCATTGTGTTGTCTACGTTCTCTTGAACCTCAACTGGGCTTTCTTATAGCAGCTACGAATTCCTTGCTTGGAAGCACAGGTCTCTGTCTTTTGGTTTGTATTCCTTTGGTACTGTTTTCTTGTTTTGTTTCCTTTTGTCTTCTTGTAGCCTCCCCCCCCACCCCCGCAATGCCTGTGCACTTAGAGCACTTACTCTTACAGACTTCAGGGACTGTTTCTGTGCGGAAAGGCTGTGTGTGGCTCTGCGGATGCTGGCTCGTAGGTGTGGCGGTTCTGACACTTGGAGGTCCATTGTACTCTGTGCAGCCCTGGTAGCCAGACTCAGGGCTGGCAAGGATCACAGGGACCCAAGCAGCGTGAGGCTGTCAGGGACTTGATCCCTTTCTCTCTCACGGGAAATATGGCTCATGGGGTCCACCCTGGCAGCACCTCAGCTCTGGGGCTGTAACCTCCCCGGCCGCCCTCCCTGTCTGGGGAGCCTGCAGTAGCAGCACTTGCTCCTCAGGCATCTTGTCTTCTGCAGAGGAGGTTACTGGGTCCAACACTGGCACCGGAGCTCCTTCACTTCGAAGCTGCAGGGAATCTGTGCTTGTTTCAGGCTGAGGCTCAAGTGCGAAGGTTGCTGGGGGCAATGGTGCTCCAACACGGGTGATGCAGATCGCTCGGGCTGGTGCCCGTCCTTACTCCTAGCTGTCCCCACTTCAGTCACCCTTCCAGTGTGGTTTATTCAGTTATTCTCTTTGCTTTTCTGCGCCTATCACGGTAGGTTAATTGGACTGGTGAGCCCGCTCAAGGCTTTGTTCCTAGTTGGCTGTTTTGGGTTTTGCGGCAGGAAGGATAGCATCTGTTACTCTGCCAACTCCTTTATGTCATTCTTGACAGCTTTCAGTTTGTGGCTTGTCCTTTCACTTTTTCAGTACCATCTTTGAAGAGAACATGTTTAATGTTTTGATGATATTTTATCAGTTGATTTTTCATATATTATATTTTGACTAAATATTTTTCTTTCCTCATTCCTTCCCTACCTCCCTGCCTCCATCCTTTTCCCTTTTTACCTCCCTCTTTTCCTTTCCTGTAGGAATTGCACCCAGGGCCTCCTGTGTGCTAGTAAGAACAAGCTCTACAGCCGGCCTGAGCCACAGCATACCCAGCCCTTGTGCCCTAGAATTCCTTACCTAATGTAAGGGCACAGGGATTTTACTCTCACGTTTTTTTCTTGAAGTTTTCTTGTTTTAGGTCTTACATTGTAGTTTAATGTTGTGTACTATATAGGTTAGGAGCATAGGTTAGGGTTTTGTTTATGTTTAGGGTTTTTTTTTTTTTTTTGCATATACATATCCACTAGCTAGCACCATTTGTTGAGAATGATTTTTTTTTTTTTTTTTTTTTTGTCTGTATATTGTCTCCCCATTGGAATGTCAATGCTTTGAAGACAAGGAAAACTAGACTCCCTAAAATGCCATCAATCTTAGATGACACCTAATATTTTATTAGGTAACTGCCCAGTTTTTTTTTTTTTTTTTGTAACTTCAAAGATACCTCCCTTTCTGTGTACATATTTTCAGTCTAAACATTCTTGCAAAAATTCTCATTCTATATTTGAAATATTTTCATACATACTTGGCAGATCAATATTTTCTTCTCCGGAAGTGCCTGACTGCATTTGCATGAGCAGGTGCTTAAACAACAGAACTAACCAGTAGGCCCCCAGCACCATTTGTTGAAGAAAAAGAAAAAAGGTAGAATAGCAGTAAATGTTATGTGACCTTCTTGGAAACACCCAGGAGAAACCCTGCAAGTTTCAGGATACGTGCTTGAGAAATGCTGTCACAGTCTGTAGAGATGTGGAAAGTGAGGTGGATTGTAGTTCAAATGTAATAGAAGTGTGAACGATGGAGAAAGATGATGTTTCTTATATTCTAAAGGATAACATTTTAGGGACATTGCGTTTCAGCTTCTGAAATAATTAAACCTGGAAAGTAAATTGTCTCAGTTTTTCAAGTGTCAGCTTGTACCCTTTCCTAGGTCCATACCTTTTCTTTCTTTCGTTGCTGTGTTAGTGGAATAAGGACATTGGAATTGTCAAAAACAGTGCGAGATTGTGTTTTATGGTAACCTTTCTGTTAGATTCCTGTGTCTATTGGGTTGTGATGTGAAGTGTTTTTGTTTTGGGTTACAATCAAGGTTTGAAAGCCACTCAATCTAAAACGGTCAAGTTACATTTTTTCATAAGAAACAATTTTAAAATATTTTTCCTTTTTTTTTTTTAGGTGTGAATTCTTGATACACATGAAAGGGCAGGAATTTGTAGATGAAATCCAAGCTAGATACCCTCATCTTCTTGAGCAAGTAAGTACATTTTTAAGATTAACAATTTGAACTCTGTATAATAAATTCAGAAATAATACTAGGGATGATATTTGCACCTTCTTTCTGCTGGGGATTGAACTTGGGGCCTCGTGCATGCTAGGCAGGACTTCCACAATTGAGCTGCACTCTCAGGCTTTATTTTCTTATTAACTCTTGTTACGTATTTTGTGTCCATATTAGTGATACCTCTGGTAATTTACTTTTGTTACCAACTTGTTTCTTTAGGGCTTCTTCAAAATGATTATTTTTTTATTTCAAATTGTGATGGAGTAGAAGTGGGCATAGTGTCTTTTCTGGTTTTTTCCAGAACACAAACAAAAGACCTGTTAAGAGTTGAGATAATCTGAGAGTAACTCAGTTGAAATCTTACTTTCCAAGTGGAATGAAGAACCGTTAGTCTGTCTTCCTACTCTCCTGAATCGGGAGAAATAGGTGAACTTAAGGAAAGGTGTATGAGAGTTATGGGAAAACAAAGCATTGTGAACTAAGTGTATTTACTGAAAGTAACTTGCCTGCATGTTGCTGTGCATATCTTTCAGGGTTTTGACTTTTACCTATGAACTTTTCTTCTGTTTCATAGCTGCTGTCAACTTCAGACACTTCCGGAGAAGAAAATATTGATCCGCCAAGTATGTATGAAAGTATTTCAAATATAGAATGAGAATTTTTGCAAGAATGTTTAGACTGAAAATATGTACACAGAAAGGGAGATATCTTTGAAGTTACAAAAATATACTGGGCAGTTACCTAATAAAATATTAGGTGTCATCTAAGATTGATGGCATTTTAGGGAGTCTAGTTTTCCTTGTCTTCAAAGTGTTGACATTCCAGTGGGGAGACAATACACAGACAAAAGCCAGCATCACATAGCTCACAGCATGAAATGACAAGTGTGAAGAAGCCCTCAGCGAAGCGGGCTGTGAGCTGGCAACGATTTAGAAAAGGCTCTGCTTGCAGGATTTAAGAATGAGCCAGAGCTTGGGTGTTCAGATTGTATTTCAGTGCTAGGATATCTTTGGAGTGGAACTTAATTCTAGCCAGCTCTGTGAGTAAATGTGTAGTCTGAGCTGGCCCTGCCTTGTGCCCCTGGGTTCTTCTCCCACCATTACTCTGGCTAGTCCTTCCCCTTCTGATGGGCACCAGGAGCTGCTGTTGGCAGCCCTTCACTCGGCTTGCTCGCTAGCCAGCATTTTGTGTGAGAGGTGCTTCACCGTCAGCGTGACTGCCCTGATATGTTCTCTTGGTTTTTTCCTATTTCTTTGGTTGATCTTGAATATTTTCTTTGGTGACTGCTGCTTTTTTAGACTTCTAAATATTGGAGTATCTATCCTTCCTACTCAAAGCAAATTTTCTGTTTCCTAGCTTCATACAGAAACGTTCAGCTCTGCTGTAATTTGCATATGCTTTGTAATAGATGCTTCACACAGGGGCTGGGGAGATAGCTCAGTTGAATAAGTGCTTCCCTGCCAAGTGCAAGGGCCTGAGTTCAATCCCCAGCTCCACACACACACAAAAAAAGATGCTTCACAGTTAATATGAGCCAGCCTGGTACTTCTCCCCGTCCTTCATGCCTCATTTGCTCCTTTCCCATATTGATATTTGCTAAGGTTAAGTTAGCATCAAGGCCAGCATTGTGGCACATGTCTGGAATCCCAGCACTCAGGAGGCTGATGCAGGAGAATTGCTGTGAGTTTGAGACCAGCCTGAATTACAAAGTTTGTTCAAGGCCAGCTTAAATTGCATAGTGAAACCCTGTCTCAAAAAAACAAAAACAAGCAAGCACATTATACACCATTCCTTTCTTTCAGTTTGTATATTTAGTTGATTAGAAGCCTTGTCTTCATAATATATCCTAAACCCAACTGCTGCTTTTCATCTCTACCAATAACCAGCCTAATCCTTGCAGTTACTGTTTTCTGCCATATCTTACCAGTTCCCTCAGTTTTATTTTACTTCATTAAATTTTGATTCCTGCTTAAAACCTGGGATAGTCTAGAAACTTAGAATCAAATGCAATATAAAGTCTCTGCACGGCTCTCCATCAAGTGGACATTTTCTTCACTGAGCATCTGCCTTCTGTTTCTTGACTACGTCAAGCTTTTCCTGTGCTCTAAGGCTTTTACACTTGCGATTCTCTTTGCCTAGGTTTCTTCCATCTATTCATTCCTATAGCTTACTCTTTCTCATATAAGTCTTAAGGTTTTTGCTTGCTTGCTAGTTTTGTTTTTTTTGTTTGTTTGTTTTTGTTTTTTTTGATGTGTTGGGGATGGAGTATTATGGTGCTATCTCTCCAGAGGAATATGTTTGAGTAAGGTTGCTCAATATGCGTTTTCAATATTGTACATTTATATGTTTGTTATAATGATATTCCAGCAGATGGCAGTAAAGTGTCTCAGGAATATCTGATTTCACAGATGGTGCACCGTGAAACTAGCACTGACCCCACCCATCCTGAGAAATGCCTCCCTGAGCACACCATCTAAAAAGGGCCTTCTGTTACCTAGTTTGTTTGTTTCTTTTCTTTTCTTTCTTTTTGGGATAGGGTCTTGCCATGCAGTTCAGGCTGGCCTTGAGCTCACTGTGTAATCCAGGCTAGCCTCAGACTCCTGGCAGTGCTCCTGCCTCGGCCTCCTCAGTGCTGGATTTATAGGCATGAGCCACCACACGTGGCTGGTTTTGTGCTTTTTGTTTTTCCCAGACTGCCCTCAAACTCAGTCCTCCTGCTTCAGCCCTCTGGGCACTGGGCTTATCGGCTCTGTACCGCTACAGCTGGCTTATTTATTTTTTTAACCATGTTTTGCTTTTATCTTTAGCCATGTTTTAGGTGAGTTACTTTTTTATTATACTTCCTATCATTATTCTGTGTCAGCCATATACCTGTCTGGAACCTGTTTATTCATTCTAATTTTTGGTTTAGGGGACTGAATGCAAGTCCTGTGCTTGTTAGGCAAGTATTGTACTGAGCCAGATCCCCAACCCTGAGATCCTATACATTCTTCAAGTCCAGTCTTTGTGTGTGTGTCTGTTTCTTGCTGGAGGTAAAACTCAGGGCCAAGTCCAAATCGCTTTTTTTTTTTTCCCTGTATTTTAGGGAACGGTCTACAGGGGGGTCAGGGTCTCACTACTAGATTGGACTTGTAGTGATTCTCCTCTTTACAGCCTCCCAAGAGCTGGGAATTCAGGCGTGCACCACCATGCCCAGTCTCAGTGCACCCCGGCGGCGGCGGGGCTGACGCAGCAGGCCTGGGGATCCAACCTCTGGCCCCTGTGCCTGCTTGTGGGCACTTTAATCCGCTGAGCCATTTAGCCAGCCCCCAAGTCCAGTCTCTTAATGCTGTTCTTTCCATGAAGCTATTGCAGTTTCCCTCACTTTCTAGGCTGGAGGTGGTTTTCACTCAAGTGTGTGTACCATTGGTGTTGAAAAATAAATACATGTCAGAATTACTAGGGAGAATTTTAGAGAATATAGGTTCCTAACCTTATTTCTAGAAAATTTTTCTTTTTTTTTTTTTAGAAAACTTTTCATTAAGTTAAGTCTGGGATGTAGTCTAGGAAGTGATATTTAAAACTACAAAGTCTTGCATATTCTCAGCCAGTAGCAAGTTGAAATTTTTATTGGCGTTCCAGGTGTTGGGACCCGTAGTTCATGTCCTTACCCCCATATGGGAGTAAGTGATGTGCATAAAGTTTGTGTCACATTTTCCTCCATAGTTTCATATTTGAGGAATATTCGCCAATGTCTTTTCAAATAGTTGTACATTTTGGACCTGGAGAAAGTTCTTCAGAAGATGCCGTCATGATGAGTACACCTGTGGTTAAAGCTGCTTTGGAAATGGGTTTTAGCAGAAGCCTGGTAAAGCAGACGGTTCAGAGTAAAATCCTGAGCACCGGAGAGAACTACAAAACAGTTAATGATATTGTATCAGCAATTCTTAGTGCTGAAGATGAAAGCCGAGAAGAGGAGAAGGAAAGACAAGCTGAAGAGGTGGCATCAGGTATTTTCAGTGTTAGTTACCTATGTTAATTTTCAGGGGGGCTCGTACTGTGGTCTCCTTGCAGGGCAGTGGCCTTGTCTCTTGTCCACTACCACCTAGTCGCAGTTCCTGGGTTGCTTGTGAACAGTCTGGTCTTCCAGACTGCCCCCAGTGGGGAACCTGACTTTCGAGTTTTTGTATGTTTGTTACCATTCTCCAATTTATGCTAATCAGAACATTTTAGTGTGTTCTCTTGAGTTATATTGCATTTGTCATGCATAATATATAAATTGTATTCATAAGATTTTATACAATATAAATTGTTATATTGATAAGATTTTAAAATTGGATGCAGATCTTATTTTTAAAGAAATTATTTCAAATTATATTCTGAATGATCCTTAATTTATTAATATTTGCTAAGTGATCCTTACATAGAAGTGGAATTTATAAGGTTGGAATGGTGGTACACACTTGTAGTCCTGCAAGGCTGGGGCAGGGGAATTACAAATATGAGCCCAGCCTGGCACCATTTCAGCAAAAATAAAGGGCTCGTGATGTATTCAGTGTGAAAGCCCTAGGTCCAATTCTCAGTACAAAAAAAACCACAAAAAACTTAGGATGAATTCCTGGGTCTCTCAGGGAACGCCCTGCCCAGCCCAAGGAGGGCAGGGAACTGACTTTGATGTTCATCTAAATTATATTAAGTGTCCCTAAACAGGCCTCTGAGGAGTCACTCCTTCAGATACGTGCTGAGCACTAGCATGAGGGAGAAGTGCTGCATGCTAGGCAGTTGCAGTCAGGCTGCAGATAGACCAGGACACAAGAGACACTGTAGAAGCCAGCAGAGAGGTGTAGTTCGTGCATGCAGTATGCTGGCTTATGGGCTTGGCAGACAGTTTTCTTTTTTTAAGTTTGTAAGTGAAGATAAAAAGGTTTTAAGACTTTTTTTTTTTTTTTTTTTTTTTGGCAGAACCGGGGATTGAACTCAGACCCTTGTGCTTACCAGGCAAGCATTTATTCTACTGAGCCATCTCCCCAGCCCCCTAGACAACATTATTATATAGCTGTGGAGCATGAAGGCTTAAGAACATAATTTCTAGATTGAGACGTTTGACCTCCACAGCTGCTCTGTTGGCAGTTTATTATTCCTCCAGACCTCAGCCTCACCTGTGAAATAGAGGCGCTAATAGATGAGAAGCACGGTGTTGCAGGTCTGCTTCAGCACGTTGCCTCCTGTGTGAAACCCTCTCTAGTCAGCAGTCTTTTTGGTTAGGTTTGGATCCTGGCATTGAGCCCCTGGCTTTGTTCACGCTTAAGCATAATTATGCTCTGCCACTGCTGTCCATTAAATAGATTATTTGAGAAGAGGGGCCAGGCTGACGGACCTAGTGAAGGGCTGAGCAAAGGGGAAAGGTAACAAAGCCCAAGGAAGGCGTGTGGAATCCCGGCTGTGGCGCTGGTCGCAGTTCTGTGACTTTCTCCTACTTTGAGAACACCGGAAAATAGTCTTAATTATGTGATTTGAGTGGTTTAATAGGGGAATTGCACAAGTAAGGGATAGGGAGGAGAGTTCAGTGTGCTAAGGAGAGAATCCTGACTGATTCCTAGGTTAGAAAGGGAGGTAAGTTGAGGTAGTGCCTGTGCTAGTAGAATCAGGTGCAACATGAGGATGTTAAGAAAGTGAACAGAGGCCAGGGAGATGGCTCAATGGAATAAGTGCTTCCCTGGCAAGCGCAAGGGCCTGAGTTCAATCCCCGGTTCCGGAAAAAAAAAAAAAGAACAGATTTGTTAGCAGTCAGGCAAATTCGGGTAGAAGGGCAGATTGTGGTCAGAGAAGAGAATTTCAGAATTTCAAGATTAATAAAGCAGTTTGCTTCTAGAAAAATATAGAAACAGAAACTGGACCTCATGATTTCTCATTAAGCTTGTGTACTGTAGAGTTGCACCTTGAATTTCAGGAAAGTCTGAAAATAGGCAGTTTATCGTGGCTGGAGCCCCAGAAGAGGAGCTTCATTAAAAGTACCTAGATCTGCCTCAGTGACTCCTTTCTCCTTGGTGGGACAAATAGCTGACCCTCAAAGTGAAGGGAGGAAAGGCTTATGTGGCATACTGTTGCTGGAGGCTTCGTACTCAGCTGGCTCCAAGGCAGCGGGCAGCCGCTCCTGGCAGTGGAAGGAAGGCAGCCGCTCGTGGCGGTGGAAGGAAGGCAGCCGCTCGTGGCGGTGGAAGGAAGGCAGCCGCTCATGGCGGTGGAAGGAAGGCAGCCGCTCGTGGCGGTGGAAGGAAGGCAGCCGCTCTGGCGGTGGAAGGAAGGCAGCCGCTCATGGTGGTGGAAGGAAGGCAGCCGCTCGTGGCGGTGGAAGGAAGGCAGCCGCTCATGGCGGTGGAAGGAAGGCAG